AACAGCAGGAATCCTGACACCAAAACGACGAATATCCAGACATCTTCAGGATCCTCTGCAGACAGTTGAGAGAGGCAGATCAGGTTCCACTGTTTCCAGGAGTCCGTGATATACCCAGCTGGCTCTGTCCCAGAGGAATATCTGGGAGCCCCTTCTCCCGTTCTCATCGTTGAAAAAGTTTTTGTCAATTGCATTGAGAGACCAACTGACCAGATCCATTTTTAATAATTTCCAGTTTCCAGAAAAAAATGCAGCTTTCCAAATGATGTCCCCTTTAATCACAGAACGAATAACTGGAGCTCTAATTTTAGATGTAAGTGACGTGTAGAGAAGGAAGTTAATCACGAACATAAAGATGGAAGTTTTAGTTTAGGAACATTTCAGATCCAGGAACAAACCTACGTCTAAAAATCTAAACGATAAAGTATTTAGGATGCTCTGCTTTACCTGAACTGAATTCTCTCCTTTTTCCTGTTAAACAGGTTAAATTTCCTCCCAGCATCAGAGATCTAATTTGTGCTTTTACTGTGAAAATATTCTCACACAGAGTCCAGAACAACAAGCATCCTGAGATTTTACAAGTATGAGGAGAATTCCCTGGAATCCGGGATTCCCGGTATCAGCCTCTGTCCAGTGTTAATGATTCATCATGTGATGCGTTAATAGTTTTTATGAGTTTTATTGTCTTTGTGTCCCGGATGGTTCACAGACTCTCTTTTAATGACGCTGTAAACAAACTTTCAGTTTCAGTTCGTTGAGTTTTTCTCTGAAACTTCCAACTTCAGGGTCCGCTCCGGAGGCCTGGAGCCACCGTACCGTGATGGAGGAGCTGAAGCTCCAGAAAACGAAAACAGAGAACTGGAAAAAAGATTTGTGTTAATAGAGTCCACTTCCTCTCTTCGTTCGCCGTGTCAGGCTCACGCCGCTCATCTGATTAAAGGAAAATGCTAGTTTTCCGGGAACAGACCGACTGAGTCGGACCAACGAAAACATCAACATGAGTTAAGCTGAGGAGGGAGGAATTTCATTCATTCAACAGTGTTAAAGCTGCTTCAGTGTCAGAAGGATGAGTGCTGCTCAAACATTGTTTAGTTCCTCGGTTTTAATCAGACACATGAACAAAAACACAGAAATGGCTTTTATACAGGTTTACGTAAAAAACTTTAAAAGTTGTGTGGATTTATGTAGAAAACACGACTAAGGTTATAAATAAACAGGTCCTCGGGCCAACACACCCTTCAGTCGGAGAGGAACTAAGTGGATGAACTGGATCCAGACATCCAGGAGAACTGGGTTATCTTTCTGTCCAGCTTCATTGTTTTGCTGATTTAATCTGTTATCGGTTTCTCTCGAGTGTCCCACAAGATCACACAAGTCTCTGCTGATCCAAAGACTCCCATTAATTTCATCTGAGTGAGGTTTAAACGGGAGGAGAGGTGATGAAACCTTTTTATAAACAACCACGAGGAGGTGTGGGGATTGGTGATTAAACCGGTCCAGGCAGGAGTTCTGCTCCCAGAGGGAGCTGGATCGTTATTTATAACAAGCTGTTTGTGGTCACGGGCCCATCTGACCTGCAAACCTGATGTTTGTTCCCCAAACTCCTTCCAACACTGAAAACATCTTAATAGGTTGCTTATTCAACTCTGTTATTCACCGCTGGACCAATTCAAGCTAAATCTCACCAGGATGCAAATGTTGGCAGCTAACTATTTTCTCTGTAGGGGCCCTCTGCCCCGGGGGCGGTGGTCGACTGTAGCCTCCTGGGCACTCTATAGGTAGTGTTTAAGTGGAGGTGGGGGTCTATGCTACCCCTCCTCTGAGCGCCCTGACTTAAGCCTGGTTCATGCTTCTCCGTCAGCTCCAAAATGGACAGACACGCACGCATGGACGGAGACATTTTGCTCTCATACTTCTCCGTCTCCTGGGGAGTGTTGCAAAGCAATTCCCCACCAGGACAACAGAGGGCGTAGCGCTGTTCTGTGGTATCCTGTCATTTATTGGTCCAAGATAGAGTGTTTATATTGTGTTTTTTGTATATAAGAGACTTTTTAACAAAGACAAATTTGTCTCTCATTCTCCTCCACCTCTTCATGCGCTCGCCACCTCTAAACCCACGTTTTCTGTCATTTCCGCCCACAAATAAAATGCTTGCTGCGTATCTTTTCACACCTCCAGTCACGGGCAGTGTTGGGAGTAATGCGGAACAGAAGTAATTAATTACTGTAATGCATTGCTTTTTGTTGTAATGTGGTAATGTAAGGCATTACAGGGATATAAAATGGTAATATTTACTCGGTACAATTGTCAGTAACGCGGTAATTACAATGTATTTTAAACCCACAATCAAGATGCGTTTCTTAAAAATTCAAATTGCGGGAAACCCGAAGAAAGATCCAGTATCTGCATATATTACGTCATTTATGGACTCAGCTTTGCAGGCAGAGAGGACGCAGCGGTAACGGCTCAAATACTCCAGCTGCATCCTGTGCGCGGCCGCTGTAACATTCACAAAATCGCTCCACTAAAACAAAATAATTCACTTGCGATCGTTCATATCAGCACATGTTCTCTGGTATTTTGTGCTTTTCTGACGTGCTTTGCCTCATCTGAGTTAATCTGGGCCCCGGTGATTTCAACTCATTACTGCTGGAGCGCCGTGCATCTGAAGATCCCTTTGGCTGATCGTTAGAAAGTAGGAAGTCTAGGAAACAGTTTTTTCTGGAAGACGGAGAAACCATGCAGCATGCAGGAAGGTTAGAGAGAGAAAGGGCAGGAAATTATTCAAATAAAATCAAGAAAACAAAACGAAGTGCTTGAAAAGAAAAAAGTAGGTAGATTTATCCCCAATACACATTTTTACCAGTGAAAAGCAATAATATATAAGCATTTAATATTTATACATGTGATAGAATCAGATCACCCCAGAAGTCAGTCCCACATCCAGGGCCGTATCAAGGCATTTGGGGACCAAGGCTAAATAGACTTGGAGCCCCCACCACCTCACTCCCTGCTCAGTTAATCTAAGATGGCAGCGTGCTGAGAGTACAGTTTGTTGTTGCATTTATTACATAAACAATCCTTCTAAAGAACTGTTTTTAACAGCAATCCTAGCTCAGACACCACATCACCTTCCACCGGATGTGTCATGAGTTCACCAGGCATCAGATTACCAAACTCATACTGAAGTTGTTTTGTTGAAAGTAACTTAGAGTAATGCAAAAGTAGTGTAATGCCTTACATTTTAAAATCAGTAATATTGTAATGTAATGAATTACTTTAAAATGAGGGTAACAAGTAATAAATAATGTATTACAGTTTTGAAGTAACTTGCCCAACGCTGGTCACGGGGAATTAAACGTTCATGTTTTTAGAGTTTTTTCGTGAGGTATTCTTCAAGCTTCTCCGTGTCTGCCGCTAGTTATCCTTGGATCTCTTTATGTTTTTGAGGGCGCAACGGCGACGGTGTAGACGACAGTGGCGTCCTGACCAATCACAAGCTTGCGTCGTCCGTCTCGACGGACGGATGTTTAGAAAAAGAGAGCTCGACTCCGTCCATCCTTGCGGAGCTCTCCGGCAGGCCCGCAAGGACAGATAATGGCGTTGCGTGTCTCCGCACTGACGCAGACGGAGAAGCATGACTCAGGCTTTAGTGTGGAAGACCTGATGCTGCCGGGGCAGACGGCTCCTCTGATGGCGTTTCCTTGCCTTACCTTACTTGGCTCATCAGGACTCAGCCAAATATAAACTTGTACTGATTTGTGTGTGTGTGTGTGTGTGTGTGTGTGTGTGTGTGTGTGTGTGTGTGTGTGTGTGTGTGTGTGTGTGTGTGTGTGTGTGTGTGTGTGTGTGTGTGTGTGTGTGTGTGTGTGTGTGTGTGTGTGTGTGTGTGTGTGTGTGTGTGTGTGTGTGTGTGTGTTAATGTTTTTAAACTGTTATGGGAATTAGGGGTCATTTTGTAAAGCACTTTGTTTGAAAAGTGCTTTATAAATAAAATCTGATTGATTGATTGAACCGGAGACAGATTATAATCCCAGAACTGGGACGTTGGTGGAAAGTTTTATATCATAAGGGCAAAACTCCAGCAAAATAAAATTTCTTTCTTTTAATTTAATTACATTTTCTTGCTTCAACATGAAAATGCTCTAAATATTTCCAAAAACTTCCTGCTCCAAATCTTTTCCGTGTTCAAGTTTTCAGTGAGTCTCAATAAAAGCATTTCTGGATTTAGTCCAACCTGAGTTTGCTTGGAAAAGTGGTCAGATGTTCACGCACATTCTTTCACTGCAATTTAGTCTCAAAGTGTCTCAATTTGTTTGCAACTGATTCTCCTGTTATTCCCCGTCTAGTCGCCAATCCTCCATAAGCTGACTCCCGTTTCTTTACCTAACTGAGTCACAGAAACTAAATGGAGAAGGGTTTGAGACATGTTTGAGACATGCTCCAGACACTAACAGAAGGATCAAGGAAATGAAGAACCTTCAGAAACATTTTAAGATATTATAGAAACGTGTGAATCTCAGTTTTCATCTTTAGGGTTTGACCTTTCCGTAACCCACCCAGGTTCACAAAAGTGCGATTTTCTCACAATTTTGCACATTTTCTTGTACATTTCTTGTGGCCAAAAGTTTTGTCATGCGAATCATGTTCAGTGTAAAATATTTATGTTCCAAGTAAAAAAACAGACAGGAAATTGATCAACCTGTCGAGCTGTTGCCTTCCCAAAAAGAGGGTTGGCGTGTCAGGAAAAGTCCGATTCCTCCTCTATTCCCGTCTCACTCAAAATCAGAAAAAATACCAGAAATGTCAGAAAATCACTTTTAGAATTCAAAAGCTTGTGAATATAAAACGTTACATCAGCTTGAGCAAAATTAACAACAAAGAAATTAACAACGAAATTATTAAATCTAAAAAAAATCTACTTTTTTTTTAGCCACTTTTTAAAAATCAGAAAAAACAAAATTGTTTGTTATAAACGATTTTCTGTCTTTGTCCAACAGGCAGCCGGTGACAAAAAACACCTTCCGGCAGTACCGAGTTTTAGGAAAAGGTGGATTTGGGGAGGTAAGTACCCGCAGGTCATCTCCTGAACACACCTGAATCGGATTTGGGTCAGTTTCATCCTACGGGCCAAAAATGATCTAATGCACTCCTACTGCTCACGGCACCAAACAAAAGAAATACGGTTTTCGTTTACCCAAATATTATTTTTATAGAATAGGTATTTTCTCACAGGCAATGTTGGAGCGTGAGATCGATAGGTGGATTGGTGCTGCGTCGGCAGTGATGCGGGCGTTGTGCCGGTCTGTCATGGTGAAGAGAGAGCTGAGTCAGAAGGCAAAACTCTGGATTTACCGGTCGATCTACGTTCCTACCCTCAGCTTTGGGTAGTGACCGACAGAACGAGATTGCGAATACAAGCGGTCAAAAAGAGTTTTCTCCGCAGAGTGGCTGGGCTCTCCCTTAGAGACAGGGTGAGAAGCTCGGTCATCCACTGCTCCTCCACATCGAGAGGAGCCAGTTGAGGTGGCTCGGGCATCTGGTCAGGATGCCTCCTGGACGCCTCCCTGGTGAGGTTTTCCGGACACGTCCAACAGGGAGGAGACCTAAAGGAAGACCCAGGACACGGTGGAGGGACTATGTCTCTCACCTGGCCAGGGAACGCCTTGGGATTCCCCCGGAAGAGCTGGCCCAAGTGGCTGGGGAGAGGGAAGTCTGGGCCTCTCGACTTAGGCTACTGTTCCCGCGACCTGACCCCGTACAAGCGGATGAAAATAAATGAATGGATGGATGTATTTTCTCTGTGACCTTTCAGAGCTTAACCTTTGACCTTTAGATCAAACTCAAGCACCATTTTCTTTTCCTGATACCGTCCTGAAGGATGGAACCAACAGAAAATGTGTTTGGATCGTCTGAAGGAAGGAGATCCGTCCGACGCCACTGACCAACTGTCAGCTTTAATAGTGACAAATGATTAAATAAACGAGCGTCGGGTCACGAGATAACGAGAGAGGTCACGAATGGAGTCGGGTGGGTTCAGACAGGCAGAGATAAGAAAAGGAGATTAAATATTAGCTTTGTGGAAATTGACAATATTAGTGTAAATATTTACTCGTGTTGCTCTGAAGCAAAGCATTCGCTCCTCCTGAAGCGCGTCTCTGTGTAAAAGTTACCGCCTCAGTTTAGAGAATGCTGCCATCTTTAAACACCTCTAATCTAAATCCAAAGTCTCTCTGACCTCTGACCTCAGAGTGAGGATCGCTCCGGGAAATTACCTTTAACCAGTTTGTCGGGCATCAGCTCTCAGATGAAGGCTAATGTTTTTCCTCCTGTATGCTCCGGAGCTGGTGTTATTTGTAAGTCTCATTTCGCTGCTGCAGCGTTTTACTAAAATAAACCAGAAATTTCTTCCGTTTGAATCAAACCTCTGTGTGAGTTTCTCCCTGGAGCTCGAGGTCACTGATAATCTGAGACATCAGATTGTGTTTCTGTTTTTCCAGAGAACAGGAATATTTCAGCTTCCTTATGCAACAAGATGAAGAAGATCTGAATATTTTCTGTGAAACGGGGCACAGTGTCCCATTTATGTTTCAGAAAATGTAAAGCCACAAGTTTCATTGGTGCAGCTTTCGTTTGTCTCCCGCAGGTGTGTGCGTGTCAGGTACGAGCCACGGGGAAAATGTACGCCTGCAAAAAGCTGGAGAAGAAGAGGATAAAGAAGAGGAAAGGGGAGTCCATGGCGCTCAACGAGAAACAGATCCTGGAGAAAGTTAACAGCAGATTTGTTGTAAGAATGAATGAAAGTCAGTTTAATACGTTTAGGGGTCACTACTCCCCCTGGTGGCTGAGAGCTACAACTACAGTAAAATATTTAAATTACAAATAAACTGAATCCTGATTCAAAAGTTTCATTCATTCTGAAAGAAAAACTGATCAGTTTGCAAGAAAAGAATCCACGAAAAAGAAATGTTTGTGTGTCCAGGTGAGTTTAGCGTACGCCTACGAGACGAAGGATGCTCTGTGTCTCGTGTTGACGCTCATGAACGGCGGTGACCTGAAGTTTCACATCTATCACATGGGCGAGGCGGGATTTGATGAGACGAAAGCCATTTTCTACGCTGCAGAGATCTGCTGCGGGTTGGAGGACCTGCACCGGGAGCGGATAGTCTACAGGTGAGCACCTTCATCGATGAAACACCTGAACCTCATCGGCCCCCCGTCTTGTTTTCACTGCTTTTTCGCCTCTTCCACAGAGACCTGAAGCCAGAAAACATCCTGCTGGACGACCACGGTCAGTCTCACCAAAAACAGGAACTCTTATACGTGACTTGGGTTCATTTTATGAGAATAGATCAGAAAAGTTCAAATTTTTAATATTTAAATCCGGTGTTAAACTCTAAATGTTCTGTTTAGGGCCTGCCCCGACTCAAAGTCAACCTCCAGACCTCCGAATGGAAAAGTTTGTTTCAGAATATGTAGTTAGATCAGCCATAAATGAGCAATTAACATAATTTCATAATTTTGATTTTAAAAAATTAGGATTATTCCATAATTTATGTTGATAAATAATATTTCAGTGCATTAAATACAAATCCAGTAGCTGTTGTGTTAGTTGACCACCAGAGGGCGCTCTGACTCCAGCTGGGAGCTGAGCTACTCTCAGGAAACTCAGGTTCAGTCTGAAGTTTTAGCCAAATATCTTAAAAAAAACACCCGACAGATTTTAACGAGACTCCCCGGAAGTCTTTGTCAGGTGTCCAAATGCGATGGATTCACTCTTTTAGTCACTCTGAGTCAAGATAGCCATCACTGACCTGAGAAAACACTAGAGCCATAAGCCCCACCCACATCCTGGCACACAAATATGGAGTTTTGTCTAATAACATCCGTTAGAAAATACAAGTCAGAACCTGCAGAAAAGAAATGTTTTAGAATTTTTATTCAGACTTTATTTTGTTTCAGCCTCTGCAGACAAACATAAAAATGTCTGAAACTCCAGCCTAACTTTATTTATAACGCACGACAGAACAAATGTTTCACAGTAAAACAATAGACCTCATTTAAGCTAAAGCAGCTTTAGCACATCTGGTTGGTGTTGAGTCCCAGCGTGGTGTTTTTGTAGCTCAGAGTCATAAAAAATGTTTGTTTCATTTTCTTCCATCGATGTTAAAGATCTGACCAAAGCTAACCAAGATTGATTTCAGACTAAAACAGGGAGATCAACAGAAACAAACATCTAACAGGTGTGTGTCTCCAGGCCACATCAGGATATCGGACCTCGGCCTGGCTGTTCATGTTCCAGAAGGACAAACCATCAAAGGTCGGGTTGGAACGGTGGGATACATGGGTGAGTTCTAGTCACTCACATCATGCTTATCTGTCTTTCTGGAGATTTTTAGACTCCTAAGAAGTAAAAAAGGGGTGAAAATTTTAAAACGAGATCTTCTGCAGATCAAATAGTTCCTCCAGCTCTGGGTCTGGTGTGCTTAACCCCGCCCGTCCCATCTTGCAGCTCCAGAGGTGGTGAAAAACGAGCGCTACACCTTCAGCCCCGACTGGTGGGCGTTGGGCTGCCTGGTGTACGAGATGATCGAGGGCCAGTCGCCTTTCCAGCAGAGGAAGAAGAAGATCAAGAGGGAGGAGGTGGAGCGGCTGGTCAGGGAGGTGGAGGAGGAATACTCCAGCACAAGTTCTCCGAAGACGCCAAGTCCATCTGTAAAATGGTACGAGGAGCCGCTGGATAAGGGCGTCATTATTATAGCTTCATTAAAGAGCAAGTCACCCTCTACCAGTGTCAGGGACCGAGCAGTAAAACTCCAGGACAATGGTATAAAAAGAATATTTTCTCAATTTATTTCCATAAATAATTAACAAAAATCAAGACAAAACGGGCCCAAAGGAAAGAATGGCCACAAAAATAACCGTAACTAAAAGTAACAAGACTGGTCCCAAAGCTGAGACACACGGGGGGAATTTATACACAAAGGCTAGCCTACAGACAACGAGGAGGGGAGAGACAGGGGAAACTAAGACAAACAATA